ACGTACGTATGTACGTACGTATGTACGTATGTATGCATGTATGTATGCATGCTTGTTTGTACGTCTGTGTATGTCTGTATGCCTGCATGCCTGTATGTCTGTATGTATGTATGTATGCATGTATGTATGTACGTATGTATGTATGTGTTTATGTGTGTATCTATTTATGTGCATAAATACGTACGTACATACAGACATACATACATACACACATGCATACATGGCAGATGTGACAAACTGAATGCTCATGCGCACAAGTGCTCCCACGAAGCAGCGGCGTCTGCTGGTCCTTGCCCGGAGCCACTGTCGGCGGAGCGAACATCTTCTGGATGAAGAAGGAAGTGCCACTGACAGGAGCTGTGCAGGAGGCAGGATCCGTCTCCAAGCGTTGAGACCCAGGGCTCGGAAACACCCGTGAATAATAGTATATTATCGTATATTATATAGTACAGTATAGTATTTTAATGTATATTATAGTATCTCATAGTATAACAAGCCTGCTGCGTGCAGCTGAGCCGGTGCCAGGGCCTGATAGACAGCAGGAAGAACTCCAGAACAACGGCCGGCTCCACGTACCTGTTTAGAGGCTCGGCTGTTCATGGAGATACATAAACGCATCCGCGATAAACTGTCAAATTTTCTATCCATCACTGTTTTTCTTGCATCCTGAACCTTCACCAAAGCCTATAGCAGCCCCAGAGCTGAAGCGGAGGGGCAAGCTCTCATACCTGAGGACGTCCATCATGGAAAACACGGCCTCTGGAGCTTCAGAGAGAGCTGGCTCTCGCTTCGGCAGGTGGTGGCATGAAGCCCAAAATCAACCCCGCAGAATCCCTTACAGTAACCCTTATAGAAACCCGTTTAGAGAAAAAAGGAACCCTATTCTAAATATTCAGGCACCTATATTAGGTGAGTAGGATCTGTGCATATCTGTGCAAACGTGCATATTGCAATCAGCCTCAAGCGGGTGCCATCGACAAAGCTTTCCTGAAGTGTTTTCACACTGGGCACACAAACAGGAGCACCTGCCTGCTACGTATGTTCTATCTTGCCTTGCCTTGCATCTTGGAACACGAGGATCGGGGCTGGACAAACAAAGACTGCTATAGTCTTTGTACGTTGATACAATTGCAGGTGCATGCAGGACACTACAGTAGTAAGGTGTGTACCACATACACAGCACTTTATAACATACTGTACAATGGTCACGGTATCTCATTTCACAAGTCGTGATGAGGTGGATCATGTCTTGAAAAAGGTAGTTGTGTGGGCATGCATCTATATATATATATACATATATATATGTATATGTGTGTGTATGTATGTATGTATGTAAGTATGTATGTATGTATGTATGTATGTATGTATGTATATGTGTGTGTGTGCAGACACGATACATAGATACGTAAATGTACAATTACAACACCGCCATGAATATATGAATGCTTTGTGCTATATATATATATATATATGTGTGTGTGTGTCAATGCCTTTTTGTATGTATATCTGAAATATTCTACACATACGCGTATGGACAGATCGATAAACACTTTGCTAGGTTAATTATGTATGTTCAAAGGAATTAGACAAAGGGGTAATAATAGGCGTGTATGCAGACAGGTCGGCAACGGCATGATGCCTTGTGTTGTCTCATCTTACACTGCTTCGTCGTGCCAGCTGCGCTATAGTGTGATGTTCCATGCTTGCATGCTGGACTAGTTCGCAATGCTTAAACTGGATTACACCGCTGCCTGCTGTTCGATATGAACGTTTCATGCCCCACAGCCCCAAAGCCACATCCTAACAACACGCCGAGGGGCAGGAGCGCAAAAGGATGCGCGCATGGCATATCCAAAATAAATTTCCACAAGCTCTGCTGCTGGAAGCAAAACCTGACATGAGGATGAGAAGGAAGAGGGGGATGGGGCCAACGCAGACGAACGCGATATCGGCTACTAGAGTACTGGTGGTTGGGCTGAGACTAACTGGAACAGGAAAGGATTCCCGGGTTTGGATACAAGGACGGCAGGAGAGTGTTCAGGCCCTGGCATAAAAGCATGTACACACAAAGAAGGTATAACCAATCAGGCCCCTGGCCCCTGTATTCTGGTGTCAAGGGATGAATTGGCTGGGAAGGAAGCTGGGGATCCGGACCGTTGTGATGAACAGGAAAGGTCCTTCGAGCATGAGGGGTCTGCACTTCCGATATGGCACGCAGCACGCCCGGCCTGTACAAATGGTAACGAAGAAAATCATCATAAGGAAGGGCAGGTCGCAAGCGCGAGGAAAGATGCCTCATCAAAGGCAACAGGCAACAAAAACGTGAGGCCGTCATCAGTTCTGGTCCGAGCTATCACTATAGATCTGGGAAGTGCAGGTGGTTGACCACTGCGGCGCAGGAACAGCCTGAGTTAACTTTCCAGACTGTGACTCTAGACATCAAGAGCGGAACTTTAGCTACAAACATGCCCTGGCCGAAACAAGCTTGGACTGCAGGGACGTCTCCAGACCTTCAAATCAGACAAATTTAGTCGAAACGTGGCTGCAAGCTTTCAAACCCGGCGCAAAGGGAAGCTGAACCACCAAAAGACTCTGCGAAGCCTTACACATTGACAGCAAAACCTCACACAAAACACACTGCCGGCATAGTCACAGTTTTGGAACAGGCATCCTACGCCTCACATCTCCCCAAAGCACACTGGCTACTACTCCCTCCCACCCTGCCCACCGAGGTGCCTGAGCCGTCCATGGGGACACCAGGGAGACCTCGGAGGGCTTCAAGGTGCAGGGCTCACACTAAGGTTAAAGGCTGGAGGAGTCGAATTCGAGGGTGCTTACACGTGTGGGCTGGCCCTAGGACTAAGTCCTCAAGGATGTGCGATTCTTCTGTCATCTGGAGATGATGGTGACGGCGATGGTCATGGTAGTGGTGAGGGCGGTGATGGCGGTGATGGTGGTGGTGGTGACGATGATGGCACTGAGGGCGAGATGATCATGATAGCGAGGGTGGCTGATGAGACTGCACGAGGGGCGCATGTCAACATGGAAACGAAGACGGTGAAACGATGGCGACTAAGAACGCAAAAAGGACGATGGAACATTACTTCAATTGTGGGGCTTTGATGGTTGGTCCCTTTGGGGTCCAGGCAATTGGAACAGAGTCCCACACCGGTCTTGCATTGTTAACTGTACTTATCTGGTCGATTTCAACCCCATGTGTGCCTCTAAGCTTGCTGCACCGCACGAGAACTTCAGAGGTCATGTGGCTTTCTTTGCTCGAAAGACTCCGCAATCTTCAGGCAAGTCTTGGTGACGCTAGATTCATTGCCGTCATCGGTGACCAAGTCATTACCATCATCATCTTCTTCATGATCGTCTGCGTCGCCATCATCGTCATCACAATCACCCTTAACAGCCTCAACATTATACTCAAAGACATCGGAGCCACCACCATCACCATCATCATCACCATAATCCACATCTTGATGCTCACAGTGCTCACCTTCTCATATCAGCATTACCACGGCTGATAATTGTTCGTCTCCGGCTTGTCAACAAGACCGAAAAAGCTCCAGGCATAGATGGAACAGCTCCAAGCCCTAAGGAAAGACCCGGTTCAGAGTAGTCCCTTTCATACCGCAGACCCTACGCCCCCTAAGCCTTAAAGCTGTGTCTACATCGACAACAACCGGCTGCTACTTTGACTCAAAAGACAAGACCTTCAAAAATCGCTTCGGACCTTTAAATTTAGAGAGCATGGTGTAGGTTCTAGGGCAATGGCAAGAATAATGTGAGATGGCCCTGTGCAGCAATGAAGTCTGCAACTGAGGCACGGAAGCAGTCGCGGACGAAGTTCCCAGCGTTCCTCTGAAGCCGCACAATCGTCTTTGCCACCACTTGCTTGTACCAAGAATCGACCTCCAGACGCACCAGGAGCTGATCTGCTTCAGACTTCGAGTGTTCCTGGATTCAAGAACCTTGGGTTACGTTCCAAAAACGTGACCACAGCTTCGCTTTGTGCATATCTAGCTGTCTTCCTGCTGTTGCCGTGATTGCATGTGCTGTGCTTTATACTTTATCGCAACATACTCCACTTTGTTTCAATGCCCTGACTACTGCAGTGCAGCCTAGCTGAGACACTAGCTTATTTTCAAAAAAACTCTTTCGACGGTGTATACCACGTGTTGCGAAACCTGGCTCCTTCTACTATGTAGCACTGAACTACACTCTCTTGTGCTTCAGATGGGTACCAGGCTCTACTATTCGCAACCCTTCGAAACTATAATACTTTATTCCTTGTTCAATGTTCTGGGTTATGCAGGATCTATATCATCAACCGTAGTGTACACTATGTCGTGCTACACCATCCTACATTACTCTTTAGTCCACAGCAGAAGCCGCAGCAGCAGCCCGGCCTCATCGGGAGATGTCGGACTTTCTTGAGTAACGATGTGGCTCGCGAAGGCACTGAGCAGGTAGCCACCCCCAGAGACAGCAGCGATGTACCTCAAGTTCTCAAGATGTCGGGTAGGTGAGGGTGAAAGCCCAGCAAATCGCACAAGCACAGTTCAAAGTCTGCACGTAACAGCACCCTACAGTTCTAAGAGGCGCTGGCTTTCTTGCTGCGGCGAGGATATGTTGTGGACAGCATGCTCCAGCTGAGGCGAGGGCTCGATATCCTGTCAGAGCGTGGTTGTAAAAAGCAGGAGATGCTTTCTGAGCTGGCTCCATCGTTCGGTGCTCTGCAGTGTTTGCGCTCCTGTGCTGAATGTACATCAATGCCTAGGCCCTAAACCCTGACTAATAATATCGTATGTACTAAAACATAATACTCTTTACTGTAATGTACGAGTACGATAAGACAATATAAGATCCTAAACTCTGAGCAGCTCACAGTTCACCGTTGAGGGTGTGAGATCTGCAGCTTTCCATATGGAGCAGCTTTTCGTTCAGAAAGCCCAGCTGCGACACACCATGGTGCATCTACCTGGAAATTGAGACTAACACCGCATGTACTCGTGTGCGTGGGCGCGAGCCCTGGAGCATGCTCCCTTTCATGCAGCAGTGCTGGTTGATGGTTTTTTAAGTTTTGTATCGCCTCCTCCTCCGCCTTGCAAAACACGCACTCCAGCGTTGTGCCAACCCTAAAACCCTGAACACTAAGCAGATGTTGATGCGCCGGAACTTGGAAAAAGTCTTGCAGACGTTGCTGGATTGAGATGATGCAGAAAGCAATCTGTCTCTGGCACAGAGAACAAGCACAGTGCAAGTAGTACATGCACCAGACACGAACTCAACAACACAGTGAGCACTTCAGTGCTAACAGAAACACTGGCAAGAGCAACCGTGACAATCATAATTTCATAATGATGGCAGGGCCAATAGCAGCACGAGTCAACGATGTTAAGAGTGCAAACGGCAAGGATGGGACGACATACATACCGCACCAGTAGAGGTCGTTTGGTAGCCAAGAGTCTAGTCGTTCATTCATGCTTTCTACAACGGCGCCAAGGTCCTGTCAAAAGCTGCTAAAAACCTAGCCGAACCCCATCAAGGCCCCCAGCCTCGCTATAGGAACCTGTTTGAGGCACAATGAAACCGAAGAGGGCCGCCTGCACCACGCCAGCCTCAGCCAGCTGCCACAGGACACCAGACCTGGCGGAGCAACTTTCGCTGTACAGAGTTCCTTGGGTCTTTAGGCTTGGGGTTTACGGGAGTCCTTGCAAAGGCTTTTGTAAGTATCCCTTTCATATTTGGGTTCAAAGTCTGCAGAAGAGAGCTCTGACAGCTAGGACTCGCTTGAAAGGAATTTGAAGTGTGGGCTCGTCTGGAATTCGGGGGTTTGATTTCAGGAGCTCGTAGAAGATCGACACCCGCCTACATTATTGCAAAAATGCCGCTCCTTCGACCAAAGGAAGACCGAAAAACACACATCAACAACAATGATAACAAGCAGTGCTGATGTTGAACTCTTGAACTACAAGCCTCTTGACCCAAACTTGCCCGATCCACTGGAACGTGGCCGCTCGAATGCCGCCACCAGAGAAGGCTACAGAGAAGCTTGGTCTGGTACCTGCCGTGGCTCACGCATACTGGGGATGTGGCGACGGGAAATGGGCGAAGAGCAGTCTACCCGAAACCCTAGCCGTCCCAGCCAAGGCGTACGACTCACATATCTGAGCCTAATCGCATTCAGGACCCAAGACGAGCATCCAATCAATCGGACCCAGTTATCGGTTTAGGTTTTGGGGTTCATTTAACCGGTTCAGCCCGAAACAAAGAGAGATTACGAAGGACCTACTGCCGGTTGCTTCTGCAAAGCAAGCATGTGTGCAAGTGCGAGCAAATTTCCGTGAATTGCTATGTTTCTCCGTTACAAGTCGTGTGCTGTCTGAGATCTCAGAGTCTTCAGGGTAACTGCCGCAATCTGAAAATCAAATCTAAGCTGGGAGTTGTTTGATATTGTTGCCACGGTTGCTGCAGTCTATGCCTCTGCATATCTCTGCATCGCTATTTAAGACACTGCTCCCACTCTGGCATCATCGCCATCTCTACCGACATGTGATCTGACCATCGGTCATGAGTCCAATCGTCTGCACGAGGATCTTCAAACTGGTTACTGACATCAAAAGCAGTAGCTTACAGGCCTACAAAACCGCCGTCATCGTCATCCCCATAATTATCTGCTATCATCTCCAACAATCGTGATAACAGTGATAAGCATCTTCAGACCAACAAGCCCGCTATGGTGACATCCCGTCGAAATCATCATAAGTGTGCGGCATCGTGACCACCACAAAGCATCAGAATGAGAAGTGGCATGAGCTTGAGCAGTAGAACCGGAACCATCAACCATGTGAGCATGCTGCTTATCCTCATCTTCATCGTCATCAGCATCATCACTGCTGAATCCATACTCCCTCGCCATGACCCACAAAAGCACCATCAACGGCAACAATCACGGCACCACCACCGTCAGCATCCTCATGATCCTAATCTGGCAGGTCATCGTGAACACAACAGCGACCCCTAAACCCTAAACCCAGGCGCCCCAGGCCTTTCCATCCAATGCTCTCTCGTGCTTTTAGCTTCTGGGAAATCAGTTCCTGCTCTTTGGCATACACCTGACAACTGGAGGCTTTTCAGGGAGGCGTTACGCTGAAGTCCTGCAATCTCTGCTTTGTTTTGAGTCGGGCCTGCTGGGGCAGGTTTTGAAGCACGCCTCAGGGCTGAGAGGGCGTAAGGTCTCGACTTTCCGGATACCGTGCAATCCATCATTGTAACATACTCGGCCAGTACACCAGAGGAAGCGAGAGAGAGAGAGAGAGAGAGAGAGAGAGAGAGAGAGGCAGGAGCGAGAGAGGGAGGCAGGAGCGAGAGAGGGAGAGCAAGTCTACGGCCTCGTCCCACGACAAGTAGCTGTCCTTCGCAGGACACTTGATAATTGACGGTCTGAGGAATCCTTGACGATTCACGGCTGCTAAACCAACAAAAGCACATGCAGCAAAATAAGCATCAAGTCACAAAACACCGCCACCGCTGCCACCACCACTACCACCACCGACAACAACGACGACAACCAACAGCAACAGCAACAGCAGCAGCAGCAGCAGCAGCAACACCGACATCGCCGACAACCACGACCACCGCAACCACAACCACAACCACCCCGCTGTTGTTTATGGTGTTTGGTTGAGGAAGTGTGGGTTCTTCGTTGTTTGGGTGTTTGATGTTGTGTGCGTGTTTAACTTTTTTTTGCAGAGGGCCCGTGGGGCTTGAGACCCTTGTCGTGCGACAGTTGCTGAGGCGACCCACAAATTCTGTGTACTTTTTGGACCAATTTTGCATTTGATGTTCGGCGAATGCTGGGGTGCAGAGTAGCATCCAGTTCAGCAACACAGAAGCCAACACAAGGAAACATAAAGTGTAACCTAGAGGGTTTCTCCAAAGCAACAACGCTGACACCATCATCACCATTGTCACAAAAGCTGTCGTCCTCAGCATCCTCATCCTCATCATCCTCAGCCTCATCATCCTCATCATCATCTTCATCCTTTCACCGATATGCTGACACAGTCAAGAGACCATGCAGAACTCGACCATGTCTAAACTCTAGACTCTAGACCCAACAGGACAATGAGCCACACGGTTGAACTGCCGAGCCATACAAGTTGGATGTTGCCCTGATGTCTTGCTGCACCGCTCCTGCGTGGAGCTTGTCAGAACCTGTTCACAGTCAGAGAAAGCCAGAATCAACAGTTGTGGCAGGTCTGACGATGTGCGCAGCCTGCTTCTCAGGCTTTTTGACACTCCCAATGCTGTCGTCAAGGAGCAACAAGGAAAGGAAAGCATAGGGGTAGGACGCGGGGTCGAACTACAAATAGCAGTAGCACTAGCACCGGGCACTGGCGCCAGCAACAGTACCAGCAGTAGTAGCAGCAGCGGCAGCAGCAGCAGGAGTACTAGTAGTAGTAGTAGTAGTAGTAGTAGCAGCAGTAGCAGTAGCAGTAGTACCAGCAGTAGCAGTAGCTATAGCGGAGGAGTAATAGTTTTGGCAGTAGTAGCAGCAGCAGTCGCAGTAGAAGTAGCAGTTGCGGTAGCAGTAGGCCACTGCTGCTGCTGCTGCTGCTACGGATACTGCTACGACGAGGACCACTACTACCAGTACCGGTACGACTTCTAATCGTGCCATTGACGACCAGTGAAGAGCGGCAGAGAGAGCAGCAGCTGCAGGAGGAGCGGTCTTAGTAAGATTTGTATTTATGATCGGCTTGAATCTGCGGCGACAGAGCGACCGCTTCGTTTGTTGTGGCTACGACGTTCTTGCGGTGGAAACCCGCTGTAGACCAGGCCTCCTCATACTCTTCGATGGCGTCCCTGGCTTTCGGAGCTGTCGGTGGTTGATGGCTTGGGCAGTGGCGGCATTGGTTACTTCGGATCACGGGAAAGGACAGGGTGCCGGGCCCTTCAGCTCCCAGACTTCAGCAGACGATGATGAAAAAATCTTGGCGTTTGAGCTAAGTATATTTTTGGCGTCTGCGGGCGGTCACAAGTTGACGGTTCACTGGGTGCCGAACCGGGCAGCGGGTGGTCTGATTGATAATGTTGTTCCGTTGCTGCCATCGGCAAAATGAGATTCATGACATTTATCCTCGTACCACGATAACAGATGTGCGATTGGACTATCGCCAAGAATCTGCCAACCACTGCCGCAACAGTCTCTTCTGTGTACAATCAATGGTGCAACAGCCCTCTCAGAGCCACGGACTCAGAAATGACAGGCCAACAAAGTTGTGCACAAATGGGTAGCACGGCAGCACTGGTGGGGGTAGCAACAGCAGCAGCAGCTGCACAGCCAGAGAAGACGTTACACTGCCACCGTTCAAGAAAGCATGGCGGCAGCACATCTCGGCCCCGAACTTCAAAAACCCAAATCCGAAACCCGACTACGATTATAATGCTATACTACACTATACTCTTCTCTACTATACTATACTCTACCATACTTTACTAGACCATGCTATACCATATGACACGATATGAACTGGACATCTTCCACCGGGCCTCACGGCCTCCTTCCAGGCCCCACGAATGTGTCGAAGCTCGAGCTCTTCCTGCTCCTGCGGATCTTTGGGGCTCTCGGCGTTCTCGGTTGTAGGTTTTTGATTGAGGTCTTTATGCCTTGCCTGGCTCTTTGCCAGAAGTTAGGGATTCTTCCCTAATCCCTGAACCCTGAACCCTCGAAATTTGAGGGTTCAGGCTTGAAGCTTGAGCACCATGTAAGCTCGCCTTGGACCTTGTCCAGTCGGCCCCGAAACCATCAAACCGGGGTTTAGGGTTCTATAATGTAGGGGCTTAGGGTTCGATAGCATAGGGTCTTGGAAACTGCCCAAAATCTGCGAATAGGAGCATCCAGACCCTGAGCCCACGCTTCGCAACACCTCCCAATGCGTCAGATAATCCTACAGAAGTCCCTGCACCGAAACCGGGCCCTCCTTGGTCGTGTTTGACTCAACCCAGACTGCCCCAGGCTTCCGTGTTCTTGTGGCTTGGTAGTCGGGCTCTTCCTACAAGTAATATTCACGAAAGCTCATGTTCTGCTTTTGATTCATGTTGTCTGTCCTCCTGTCGTGGCTTAGGGCTCAGAGCTTCATCGTCTTTGTTTTGTTGGCATGTGACCGTGGCTTTCGGCTAATGCTCTGGAGGAGCCATTCTCCATCTCTGCTACGGGTCGCTAGGGTTGGGAGTTTAGGGTTTGGGGTCTAAGGTTTCGGGTTTAGGGTAGGCGTTATTGTTGCCGACGGACGTTTCTCTTTCCCAGCGTCTAGCTTGGAGTTTCTTTTTTTTTTACCAGGGTTCTTACCGGGTTCTTGTAGGATTGTTGCAGGCTTTGATTGGGTTGTTGGATATATGTGTACGTATATGACAGGGTTGCTAGATATAGATATATATATATATACACACACTCTATCTGTCTCTATATATATATGTGTGTGTGTGTATGAGAGATTGTCAGAGAGACACAGAGAGCGAGAGAGCGAGAGACAGCCTATAAAGGACTTAAGCCGAAGCCCTGCACAAAAGAATGCATAGCTTTAAACAGGGTTTAAGTTGGGGGAGAACTTAGGCGGGGA